ACAAGAATGAGTTCTTCTTGTATCTTATGATCTTGAAAATGATTAATTCACACTCCTCCTTCCAGGGCATGGCTTTTTCATTAACTGAACGCCAATACCTCGGAATCCATGGTCTACTACCACCGGCCTTTATGACCCAAGAACAGCAAGCTTATCGTGTAATGAGTAGAATTCGACAGGAGCCAGATAACTTACAAAAGTTCGTTACAATTCTCAAGACACTAAAACTATGTGGCTGTCAACCTTTGACGCTGCCTAGGTACGTGGGCGATGGGGAACGTGCGTTGACTGTTCACGTTCTCCATCGCTCACTCTGACGTAAAATCTTCTGTAATCTTCTTTTGGAAGAAGCTAGGTACATAATTTCTAGGTACATAATCCTGGATGAACTTCAATGCCGCACTGAGAAGCTTTTCTACCGCGTTTTGTGTGAAAATGTCAAAGAACTAATGCCAATTGTGTATACTCCTACAGTCGGTTTGGCTTGCCAAAAGTTCGGGTTCATTTACCGTCATCCAAAGTCAGTTACCTTTTTCATCTGTATGCGATTTCTCGTTCTGCATGTGGTTACTTGACGCATTTTCTCTTTCAGAGGTCTTTACATTACCATCAATGACAACAGTATCAGTAAAATTTATCAAATTTTGTCCAACTGGCCAGTATCGAATGTACAGGTAAGCATACAAAAACCTTTGTTCCATTGTCAACAATTTTGCTTACCTTCTTCCATTACCAGTCTCAACATTTAAAAATTTCTCCCAAAGCAGGGTCCTTGCAATCCTCTCAGTTATCTATATTGAGCATATTTTATTACTATTCTATTCACACTATTTTCTCTGCCCAACAGTGTGGCTAAGCACGAAACGGGGCCGGGTAGATGACTGCCGATGAAGGAGCTGTAGTCACTTAGCGGTGCTGTCCAGTTCTCATTTTTGGCCTCATCACAGGAAGCTTAACTTAAATTGGACCGATGCGCACAAATCTTTCGTTTTAGCGGAGGCCGGCTGCAGAAAGTCTGGAGCCGGGGATGGATCTCCTCACTCGACGATCCCTAACCTTGGACATGTCCCCTAGCTCGGACCATATCCAAGGTTAAGTCCAGAACAGTTGTGGCTTTAGCTCGCTTTTTTCTTTCTCATTCCACATGTGGTTCAACATGTGATAAATTAATTAAATCATCCCAACTAGTGGACATATCCCCAACCTCAGAGACATATCCCCGATGCGGGTGACGGAATACGTCCACAACCTCAGGAACATATCCCCAACCTTGGACCCGGAACTACAGCATAATACCAAACCTCGACCCTTGATAAAAAAAAACACATGCCTTCGATCGATTCTGATGAAGGGTCACGTTTCAAGATACTGTTGAGGCTGCCCAATTTTGATATTGTCGAACGCCTCCGTTTCGACTCAAAACCCAACCGTTTACTGTGAAATACCATCGCAGTGCGAAACTTTTCGCTGCGGAATCCTCAGGTCCACCACTGATGAGGAGTGGACCTCTGGGTCCTATCCTATCCTCCTTCTAGGCTAGGCGTAATAACT